ATTTCCTTGAGTGGTTTGTGACCGCGTGTCAGAGACTCGAAAACGATCTTCGGGCACTGAGTGAATCAGGTATTTTATCATATAGACGCGAGTGTTTTAATGGGAAATATACCACTCGTAAAGTTCCTACGAAACCACATCCGGGACCCGAGTGACGTATTTTCCATATCCTCGCTAGTGAAGATATTGATGACGTAATTTCCCGCTTTTTCACGGTTGTTTGTGCAAGCAGTCAGGTTGTCTATTTAATAAAAAGAAAATTACACGGTGTTCAAAACAATACAATACACACTTGCTGCGCTCGTTCGTAAATATTGTTCTTACCACTTGAAAATGAAATTCATTTCTTCAAGCTACCGTGCAATATCCTCTATATATTGCATATCTTTTTTTGGAACTTTGAAAGAACGTGAAAGAACTAGGAAGAACTGCTGTCTGAATGTTTACAAAACCTTTTTCCTGTAGGTTTAGAGGATTACGGATCTCTTTCCAATCCTAAACCATTTACTGTACGGTTTCGTGTCATGTGTATGGCGCAAGTGCTTTGGTGTGTGATCAACAGTGGTGTGAGGAACGATTCATGCTTAAAGGAAATCAATGCTGTCAAAGAACTGCTGGTGAAGATGGTGCAGGACATTATTCAGGTAACTTGTGCAATGAACGACTTTCTTGCAAGCGATCAAAACTGAATCTCCAAGAATAAGAAACCATTTCGAGCATCTTGTGAAAGCTGTGTTTAAAGCCGAGCAACTGTAATTGTTTCCACGAGGGGTTGTCTTTGAATTGTTAAACCACGTGTGGAGGAGTAATGAAAACTACATCGCAATTGAATTTTTGTTGGACAAAAATATCTGTCTCCAAGAGTACATTTGCCTTTAAATCAAGGTGCTCGTAATAGTTGACTGTTTGGATCAATGTTTGCATGAAGTTTATAATTGAATTTTTTTGATGTATTTTCTCATTTAAATTCGTATTCATTACCTTTCACTTCACAGGTGAACAACCCGCTTCATCCATGGCTTACAGAACATGCGAGCGAGTTAATAAGCATAATCTGTGAACAAGAAGAAGCTAAATAAGAGTAAATACAGCGATACGAGAAGAGGGGATGATATCTTTGTAATGTACACGTGTACGTTGTGACGAGGTCCTTCAAGTAGCAGCCAGCTGTGAACTGAACATTGACCTTTAGGCTACCTTGTCTGTTCGAAGTCGTAATCACAGCATGAAGGACACTACATTTGTCTTGGAAGCGGATCATTTGTGTCAAGAAAGACTTAGCTGCTGAAGAAGTGTTTTGTTGCCGTCTACAGATAAAATGATCCAGGCTTTTTACAAATTTGTTCAGTACTTATTTTGTTGAAGGGCTTTTTTAATATACCTTTTCATGCTTCACACAAATAAGAGGTGACATTTTAGGACAGTGAACTGTACAAATCTACGATTAAAGACCGTCCAAGAGCAATGAAAGAGCTGCAAAAGTAATGAAAGAGCTACAAAAGCGAGCAAAGTCCCACTGACGTTTGGTCGTAAGCTCAAAGTTAGAATGAAATGTTATTAATGCTAAGTCCAAACTATAGGTGGTCGACGAAAAAGAAACGCTAACGATAAAAAAAAAATTATTGTCTTGAGCAATGAGTCTTGTACGAAAGGAGTCAGTCTGTGTTCTAATTAGGGTTGATATTCAACGAATAGCATCACATATCCGAGGCAATCAATGGGGACACTTTCTCGATTTCTTTTAGAAGGCTAATGTGAGTTTCTAGTCGCCGAGATCTTGTTTTAAAAATGTGATGTTGTCGTCGACCTGTCAGCCTACATGACGTGTATTACACCCGGAGGGAACTCCCACACAAAAGGACGGGAGTGCTCGTCGGAAATTTTGAAAAGAACCCCTAAAAGGTACCAACATCCTGTTTTGTGGGCGTGGCTTGAAATGTCTTTCACCCCTATGAGGTACCAATTGTCAAACATCACATTAAATGACATTGCCTGTTTTGGGCTCAATACCCTAAAAGGTATCGCCAAAGCTCCGCTGTGGACCTGAAGAGGTACCAAACCAGCTTTTTTAAGCCCTAAAAGGTATGACGAGCACCCCCGCCCTTTCTGTATGGGAATTCCCCAGGACATTACACTGGTCACATGAGAGCGACTATATCAACCATTGTTGAGTTACGATTGGTTTCCGATTGGTGGCAATCATCAAGCACTCGTCTTCTCGCTGCTCAGGAGGGTATTTGATTGCGGAGCTCCGAGCGGAGCCCCATAGCTTAGAAAATTTGGGACTCATTTAGCTAAGAGTTTGCTTGTCACGTGACTGTCCTTACGTACACAACTTGCAGTGCGCGTTTCCAAATTTACAAGCTTTCAAGGTCTTGTTTTCCTTCATAACACAGAAAATTGAATGAAAGAAAAAAAATCGTGGGCTAGGTAATATATCAAACACGAAAGACCGTGTTTGACCAAATTTCCAAACACCGAGAAAAGAGTTGAAAATACGATGCGTAGCGGAGTATTTTTGACGAATTTCGAGGAAATGTGGTCGAGGAAACTTCGTTTGGAAATGTGCTCAAATATTTTCTTGGGTGCTTGATATATCTTCTTAGTCGAAACTAAAAATAACGAGAAGACGAAGAAACAAAATTACAGTGGAACCTTCGGGCCATGGAAAATTGGTCGAGGTAAGGTCACATCATGATGCAACACGCTTTAAACATGTACTGCACATGAATACCTTTAATTCGCCTATAAATCAACCTTTTTAGAATTATTCTTCAACCTTACAACAGCAATTCATTGCAACTGAACAAAACAGAGTACATGTAATGCGAAAAAACAATGACGTCTTTCAGTTATTCTACAGGATATGGCCTCGTGTGAGATGTCTGGAAGAGCCGTTATTTGTCGGATTGTGCCTGTCTTCATTCAGCTTCCTCACCAGTCAGTTTAACCGGTCGTGTTAACGGGGTAATTTTATAAAGAAAATAAGGACTGAGCACTCCAAAGGGTGGTCGTTGGTCTTGACAAAGGGGTGGTCGCTTTAACGGGGTGGTCGTATGGAGAGGTTCCACTGTAAATCATAAAAACCTATGCTAATTAAGATCAGATATGATATCCAAACACATTTCCTTTGTTCAAACTTGATGAATTATTAATGAGGTTGAGAAAGAGTCAAAATCTTGCTGGCGAAAAATGGTGAAATTTTTAGCTCTTTGGGTGTAATATTCAAGGAGCCATTGCCTTTCAAAAACTGAAAAACTTCTGGGTGGCAAAATGAGCGCTAATTAGCTCATACACTGTAAAATTTAGAGTTTTTAAATCCGTGTTGCACAAAAAGTATTCAGTACATCAGGCTCATATTCATTGGTGGAGTTAATCGTACTATGAATTGTTAATATTCAGAACTGATTTATTTGTAGCTCCATCAGAAACTGAATTACTTATGCTAATGAGGCAAATATTGTAAACAATGATTCCCCTATAAGTACAGTTTTGTTTCAAAAACTTGACTCTTCATTGACGCCAGTTTCCTTGGCTTTGTGCCCAGACCACAAAATCATCCGGGGTGGGGCTGGGAAAAGGAAAGAATGAAGTGCAGCAGGTATGTTCTGCAGGGTACAGTCGATTTTTCAACCTGCAACATGCAACCTGAAAATATACCAAAAATGTAGCAACTCTCATAAGCTGCTATTGTTTTATTATTGTAGCTGTAGCTGTTATTGTTTTAGGGCTTGGAGCAATGTTTCTGTTGTTTGTTCTATTGTTCTCTCAAGGGGTATCAAGCCATTCATGTGAGACCTTAAAAAAGCTGCTACCTGATCCAAATATACCTGCTGATGAAATGTAATTCGCTCCTCAAACCTCAAATTAGTAATGCAATTATATCTGCTGCCTCAAAACAAGCTTGGAAAAACTTTTTATTCAAGATCACAAAAGACATGGAATTTAATTTAATAAGTATATGTCCTCCTTAGAACGAACCATAAACTATAATTAAGGGTTAACCTTGGTTCAAGGGCACAATATTTCTACTTTACTTTGTCCATAGCTTCCTCTTGACTTAACCTCGCTTATCCGAGTTCAATGAGATGGTACCACACACTACAATTATCTTTCATTACTTGGACTATTTCTCAGGGTGATACAGTTTAATGTGCTGTTTCACTAGCGGCACTGGTATTGCACAGAGTGTTCACTGCCAACTCTCTGTCTCTTACGGGATTGAAGTGAGTCAAAAAAGGTCCGTATGTCCTCCTCTTGCACCACCTGACAACAAATAACAACCGTTAATGGAGTTACTGTTTGAAATATTGGTTAATTTATTTTTATTCAAAGATGAACTTAATTTTCACGTTTTAGATGAAAAATATACAAAGGATGTTGAGATGCTCTCTCTTCTCATAACTTTAATGTCCTTCTTCAACTTTCTTTTCAAGTAAGACATGGATTTCCAAAATTGAAAACAATCTTATTACTAGTTGGGCTGTCGAAAGTCAATCATCACTAACAGTCCTAAGTTAGGACCAGCTCTTACATGTATCTGAACATTTTTAAAAGACACATTATTCACAAGACGTTTGTTAGTGTTCAATTCAAATCTGACAACAAATTTTCCTACCTTTCCTTGAGCCACAAACTCTCTAAGATACTCTGTCAGTTCACTCTTCATGTCATTGTATTCTGTAAATAAACACAAGGCATATCGTTAGCAGGAAGACAACTGTGGCTAAAAGATATTTTGTTCACATATAACTCTTGTTTCCCACAACAAATGATTTAATTAAGCCAATTCATGACTTAATTTCTCCAAGCTCTAGTAAGGGCAAAGTGATAACAAGAAGTTAGAAAATCTCCAATAGGCTTACCATGCATGACTTCCACTTGTGGAATGCGNCTGTTTGAAATATTGGTCAACTTATTTTTATTCAAAGATGAACTAAATTTTCACGTTTTAGATGAAAAATATACAAAGGATGTTGAGATGCTCTCTCTTCTCATAACTTTAATGTCCTTCAACTTTCTTTCCAAGTAAGACATGGATTTCCAAAATTGAAAACATTCTTATTTCTAGTTGGGCTGTCGAAAGTCAATCATCACTAACAGTCCTAAGTTAGGACCCGCTCTTACATGTATCTGAACATTTCTAAAAGACACATTATTCACAAGACGTTTGTTAGAGTGTTCAATTCAAATCTGACAACAAATATTCCTACCTTTCCTTGAACCACAAACTCTCTAAGATACTCTGTCAGTTCACTCTTCATGTCATTGTATTCTGTAAATAAACACAAGGCTAAAAGATATTTTGTTCACATATAACACTTGTTTCCCACAACAAATGATTTAATTAAGCCAATTCATGACTTAATTTCTCCAAGCTCTAGTAAGGACAAAGTGATAACAAGAAGTTAGAAAATCTCCAATAGGCTTACCATGCATGACTTCCACTTGTGGAATGCGNACTGTCCCTTCATTTCTTTGTTTTGTTTGTTCAAGAAGGGAGATGTAATGATGTTATGATGTCATAGGCTGTTCGGGCTTGCGCAGTAGAATGAGATGTATCCTGGATGTAGTTGTTGTTGTATTACGGCTACTAATGGTGGGCTTTTATGAGCTTTATTAAAACCATTGTGTTATCATTGTTGGTCTTGTTTAGACTACGCTACAGGAACTGCTATCAAAAACTCAAATTGTTTGTTTAACAGCTGCTCACCTCTGTCTTCATTCCACCTCCTAGAGTGAGAAGAGGGAGCAGGAAGAGAGAGAGAGACACCACCAGAGACAAATAGTTCAAAGCCACTGTTGTGACTGTTTTACTACTTTTATATCATTTATATGTGCTCTGTTTTGCTCAAAATTAGTATCATGATAAAATCATTTGCACACCTCTCAGGTAATGGACAGAGAAAACAGTACTATAAATTCACTCTTGCAAGATAGCAGTGGTTCCTCTTATGAGCCTACAATTGAAGAGATGGAACTACCTACCACTTCTGATTCTTTCTGTTGTTCAGTTTCTTTAGCACTGCAAGTCTTAGTGCTATCTTCATTGTGGCTTGCTTGTGAGTGGCCTTCATCTGAATCACTTGGCTTAACAACTTTAATTTTGGTCTCTGTCTCCTGTTTAGAAACAATTTGTTGACTAGGGCCAATTGAAGACTGCTGCTGCGGTACTGCTATACATGACCAAAAAAAAAATGAACAGAACACCTATAGACATGGCAAAACATGTAATGCATTCTCAAAAAAGTTCAGTAAATAAAATACAAAAACATTGACAGGGCTAAGCCTAAAGTGTACACAAATATACCCTTAACCTTCCATGAGTGATACACAACTGATTTCTCTACACAGTATCAATGTCAACTGGTCTGCCTCCTGCCAGTTGGGATTTTTAACCATGTTATGTCCATTAATGTTACTTGTTTCACTGCTTGTTTCCATTGGCTCTAAAAGTCCCTTTTGGGGAGTGGTCAATTAAGATATTTATTCATTTATATATATTTTTCTGACATGATTTTGTTTACCTGACAGAGAAAGATAAGCTTGAAGGAAACTGCATTTTGTCATACAATCATCACAAATCATCTCTTGAAAGTCACCTCCAGGTGGTGGCAGATTCCCCAAGTGCTGAAAACACAGGGTTCACATAAGTTTTCAAGGTAGGGTGTCAATAACGAATTCCAATGGGTCAACTCCCAGTGCTACCACTGAATCATTACAAATTTTCAATTAATTTGCTGGGTCATGTAGCTGATCTTGTCAGGTTTTTGACCTGAGACCCTTCACTTATCTGGAACACTGACAAACATGTATGTGTAGCATTCTTACAGCATATACATGAAAGGTTGACACCGGAGACTCATTACTATCTCTCAATATGAGTTATCTGCACCGCAAGATTTCTCAAAGCTCAGTGCTCAACGAAAGTTAACTGATGTAAAGGCATTGTACACCTGTATGTTCAAATTAAACAGAAACTAAACAGGTACAATATACACATCCTATGTTGCTATCATTTTATGGAAACTGAATGTCTGATTAACAAGACTAGCCACAAATAAAACAAACAAATTATGATGCTGGTCTAACCTCAGTGCATTTTAAATCTTTAACTTCCATATCAAACATCTTAACAAGTAAACAGGAGACAACAATAGACACTGGCAATTAAGGGACACTGTTTCAAAGTACCACCAAATTTTCAGAACTGATATTTAATAAGGGTAAAGGTAATTTGGCTAAGTTGGTAGCCAGCGGATTCCCTCACATGATGTGGGTAAACATACGGTTTAGCAGGGCCCCCTAAATGCTAATTGCTATGAAATTAGAAGCCAAAAACCATTTTGCTTATGTTGTGTCATGTGATGTTACATCCAAAGGCTTTTTGTTCAAAACCCATCCCTTCCTCTGGGTATGTACTAAGTAGTGGACCAAGTCAAGACCCGACGATGGAACCCAAGCTTACCCTTGAGTGGTACCAGTCCTCACAGATAATACACTGAATCATTTCATCTTCAATCTGCAAATAAGATCAAACATATTAATGTGTAAAAGTACACATCAAATTGTTGTGTCCAATTAATGTAATGATTTGATTTACCACCCTCCTTCCAACAACCACCACCATTCCAACAATGCCGCCCCCTCCCCCCGCCCAACTAAAGTGCTTTTGTTAATAAACAGACCCATTTCAAATAGTGCCCCTTTTCCACTAAGCCCCTACTTCTATTTTTAATTAAAGTACCATCAGAGTACAAAGAAATAATCCATGGTTTATCCTCCTCTAACATCACTCCCAACAGCCTTATGCACCTCATGGTGTGAAGAGAAATAACTAACTAAACTAACATCACTCCCACAACTGCTATTTCAACAGGAAAACACAATAAATTATTCCTTTCAGGCCTGGGGTTTCAATAAGGGCTGATAATGGAGCAAATTGACTGGCCATGAGGACAATTTTGCCTAGCTGTTTAGACCATGAAGAGGAGAGATCTTCTTAAACAGCAGTCCAACTCAAAAGGTTTTAAGCCCACTTGTGAAAACCAGCTGCCCTTCCACTGAAAACATTAATGAAACCCCTGCTTTTAACAAGAGATCCTGTCTAAACCATAAAAGATGACAGCTTTTACTACAACATTATTGAGAAGGCTTCACCTCATCTTCCAGATCAGGATATGGTCTGTGGCAAGTACAATAAACTCCTCGGAAATTCTGATTATACTTGTTCATTGTATTCTCTGCATCTTTTTGCTACGATGAGAATAAGTTAAAACTTGGTTCAAAAAATTGTAGTACTATGTCTGAGTTATAATGGGAAGAATTCCCTTCCTTTAAAAACTTGTTGATATAAACATGCATGTGTAAGCGTACAGACAAATATGATTTACTCTAAAACTGACAAGGACAGTAGTGTCTGAAAAGAAATGAAATAGAAACAAATAGACACTGACAATACATTGATTAATAAATACCTTTTTAAACAATTGACCAAAAAATTTGTCAAAGACAAGAGTGTCAAAAACTTACAGGGTATAACTTGCACTTGGAATTACCAAATTTCTTGTTTCCACAGTCACAACGAAAATTTCTGAGAAAGAATAAAAGCCTTGTAGATGACATATATGATAATATCTGGTGATTGTTGCAAAGGCAACATAAGAGGGCATCAAGAATAGTGATGGTCCTTATTAGTCTACCTGCACAAGTGATGCCAAAGCTTGCTACAAAGGAATTAACTGGAGCTGTCATGCATAACAATGAGTGAGATATATTGCATGCAGTTTTGTGCATGTATAGTACACTGCAGGTGCTGGAATTCCCATGGTCTGTAAGGCACATGAAAATGGCATGACCGGCTTATATTGCCATTGGTGAGAGTGTCTAAGAAGTCTTTTTAACACTCTTCTATGCACTCTTCCTTCGAGCATCTCCACATTCCCTGTGCTAGAGATGCTTTTGTGAGAGTGTTCATGATTTACAGCAGTGCCAGGGCCAGAAATTCTTTTGGGTATAAATCCAGCTACTACTTTGTGATATTTTCATGTCAACCTGGATGTTTACTGAGAAGAGAGGACAATTTTAACCACTTAAAACCCCTAGTGTAGTAGTCACCTTTTAGTGTACAGCTCATAGAGCACATGTCCTTCATGGCAAGTCAGGGTACAAGCTAAACATACCCCAGCTGGCTCCGCATCTGTTGGTGAACACGTGCCACACGCATAAAGTGCCTGGCGCTTTACATAACCCTGCAAATTAGATATACAGATATGTGATTCTTCTTCTCTTCTTTAATTGATGTTTTGCATGAATGGCATTTTAATAGCATATTTATCAGTGTTAAGAAACTTGATAAATGAAAAAGAATAACTTCTTCAGCGCTGTCCACACCAGCATGTTTGAAAATGCATACTTTTTTTTTAATTTGTTCATGCCTATCATCCACACTTTTGCGATTGAAGACACTCATAGTTTTCTTCAGACATGCACACAGTTGAAAATGCAGTCTTGAGTGGAGACATTTGAAAATGGAAGAGTGGACAGCAAAAACAGAGGCTTTTGAAAACACTGACTGCACAGCACATGTGAAAATGATAGTTGTAGTGTTTTAGCAAACATATCAAGTGCTTTTTGATACATGGACTGGGACATGACACAATGATAGTATTGTGGACACGGATCGTTTGATGCATTTTAGTGCAAAAACAAACATTTTTTAAGAGCCCTGCCTAGGGGGTGGACCATTTGAGTTTTGAGGGTGGGGGATGGGGTGGGTAATTTGTTATTGGCATTTGCAGGACTTGCGTGTGCATTACAATTTTTTTTCTCTGTTTACAATACTCATTTTTCGGCTCACCAAACATGCATGAAAGTTTTCTTGGCAGTGGTCATGTGTATGTGTTTTTTTCTGGTACGTGTATACTTCCAATATATTTCTCAAATTCACCCACCCCGTCTCAAAAGTCCAATGGTCCACCCCTGATAAGTTCATGTCACGATGGCCATAATCCTTGCACTGATAAACTTCCAGTTTTAGAAATTGAATTTTTAAATAAATTAGGCTCAGTTTGGTTGACAGTGAATAGATTGAAAATTGTCTTGAATCATTTCAATAATAGGTCTTAAATTAAGCGTAAGATCTACCCTAAAATGAGCTAAAAACAGTGTAAGCTTAGTTTAAATGAACTTACGGTGAGGTAAGTACAATGTTGATCGTCGCTGTCGCCCAAAACAGCTCTCGCCTCCTCCTCTAGTTCGTTATCCTCATGCAAAACATCAACCATAGATACCACTTCGTCTTCAAGGACTCCAGCTTCCATCTTTTCAGCTGTTTGTTGGTTCTTTCTCAAAAAACACGAGAAAAATTCACACACACAAAACGCTAAGAACAAAATGGCGCGAAACTTGGATTCGATTGCAGGTCACATGTTACGTCACCTGTTTACAAAAATAATCGTTACCAGGCTTTCTTGACCGGACTCGCAGATCTTTGGAGCAGTCTGGGTACGTTCAGAGAGCAATCTTTGGACTCCTATATGAAAAGGACAGGGCGCTCGTCGTAAGGTGTTCAGCCTCAGTCCACAGTGAGAGCTTTTGCAGTACCTTTTGTATTGAACCGAAAAAATATGACATGAGATGATGTGTTGTTTTAGAATTGGTCGCTCTTATTAGGAGTGAAAAAAAAAATTCAAGCCACGCCCACAAAACAGGATCTTGATACTTCTTAATATTATTATAGGGGTTCTTTTCACTATTTTATGGCTAGTATCAAAAGTGATTACAAAATTTTACAGGAAATAGTGATGGGTGCAATTTTACTGTAATGTTCACCCATAACTTGCTCCCCGGGCGGGAACTTTTTCTCGCGTTGTTCACTTTTTGAGTTCAACGAACATGTCAGGAAAACAAGCGACACAGAGTTTTCTTCCGAAATACTACTGACCTCATTACTACCACAACTTGAATCTCCTCTTGTCTATATTCTTGAAAATTGCGACAAACGAGAGGGGCATATTGGAAGATTCAAAAGAAAAGCTTTGCTGAAAACTATGTGCGCCTTGTGGAATTCAAATAGCGGAATCGAGACTCAGAACTTGTTATTAAACGCGGTTGGCATCATGGATAAACTACAATTTTGTTGCTCAGAATTGATTTAAAAGTTCACCGTAAAGTAAATGTAAGGTAACAAACTGCACTTTATCGCTGAGCTTTTTCACCGTAAATCTATTTTGAATTCCCTAACGAACTTGTCTCGGTTTAGAATCTTTCCTTTTCTTCATTCAGTCGCTTTTGTTGCACATTTACAAGCATTTTTCAATTAAATCTTTCGTATCAAACTCTGCCCAGCTGAGCTGAGTTATATTCTTTGGCTCGTTTTTCTGTTTTTCGGGATGTATTGCCCATTATTGTTTTATTTCCGCAGTAAAAAGTTATCCAAATCTCTAATGACTGGTGACCGAGATCACTAGAAACCCATCATCTGAGGATTAGAATTTGAATGATTTTTGTAAGTTATTAATTGTTAAACTAGTTGTAAACACTGATATTTGCTCACTTACTGAATCAATAAGCCAGTTTGATATCCAACTGATTACGTGTGCTAATTTAAAATATTTACATACACCTGACGTGTGAATACGAATGAGGGAATTTCTTTTAATCCTTCTCTGGAGTACTTATTTTGAAGTTCAAGAGGTATTGTTTAAATCCAAGGTGCACCCAAATTAATTACGTCAAAAAGTTTTCAATGGAGATTTGCAAATGATAGAAATTACTAGTCTCAACCGGTGAAATGCATTGAACACGTATTAATCAACGAATAGAGACAAAAAGGGAACATCAAGCTGTTTTGAACAAAGAATTCACAGAGCATTTCCTTTTATGTCATTCAGAACAAATGAGTTCAGCCATTCCTGATATATTAAAAATAAAACTTAACCCCGGGGCGATGAGGAATACAACGAAAATTACTTACTCATACTCAATCTCGGTGCAATTTCTGTTGTTTTGTTCCCTTATCTTTCAGACGAAGTTAAAATCTCGTACATCGGAAACAGGTTCAAATAGCTTCTTGTGTTAATTGTACTGAAGTCTACTGTTTTCATTGCTGTATTCAGTTTACTATCCGGCAAGGACTGGCAATTTATTCCGTGTTCACTCAAACAAGATTGAGCAGCTTCCAAGTTATTACCTGCAAAATTGCTAAGAGTATATCAGGTACGTGAACTGGTAAATCTTTTATTTTCAGTCTTTTTTTAATGTGACCGGTGAACTGAAAATGTTTTTTTTTTTCATTGCCGTCGGGAATTCTATATCTTGCGTAGGAAGTAAAGAGTTAAAAAAGTAAACTTCTCATTTGAAAATAGGGATTGCGACCAATTTAAAACTTGAGCGAGAGTGTTTCAGGGATACATTAACGTGTTTGTCCTTTAATCCCTGAAGCCCCGTGAATGTGTTGGTAAAACGAATCCACGGCATTGGTGTTTGCCGACTGAACTAAAAGAAAAAAATTAATATTTCCGACTTCGTAATCAAAATTTTAATTTTTTCAGTTAATATTGCGATTATCATTGGGTAGGCCTCTTTATGGAAAGCAAGCTGGTAGCTGGTGATCCGCTGCCATATACATTGGATACTTCGTAATACACTCTTCAAAACAGAACTGAAAATATATTTTTTCATGAATATAGACTAACTAACCCATATTAGTCTGCCTAAATATGCCCTATATATTTGTAATCTGCGACATCATTGACACTCGATGAATACAAGCTTCAGATTTCTTCGTTCAGCGCGCACTTGTCATTTTTAAACCATTTGAATGGGTGACTGAGTTTTTACCTTCATCATTTTTCCTTTGATCAATTGAACTACAACGCGTCATTTTCTGTGGGTATCGTGAGACCACCGATAGTTGCGGTTTTCCTTGCATTGAATTGTTGTTAGTGATTTTTGAGTTACGATTTTTGGGTCCACTGTACCACCAGTGTACCAGGATAAAAAGTATTTTACAAATGATGAATTCTTCAATGGCAGTCACATGAACTGAAAATGATAAATGTGAGACTTACTTAAACCATCTAATGTTAAAAGATGTTAACTGAAACATCCTAGATATTTCTTACTTCTAACAATCAGAACAGAGGTTGCCAGCTGTTTTCGATAATTCACCGAACAAAAATTATTTTGGCTTCGGCTGATAACACTTTGCCTCAGTCAACCTAAATTACTCTGGATATCATAAATATCAAAGTTAAAAGCTCATATAAGAATTGTTTTGACATACATTATACAGTAATTCACGTCAAGAAAATAATGGTTTACATCCATTTGCCTACTAGTGAACACGTATTGTAGGTTTATGTTCAAAAATTTAACTTAAAACTAAGTCTTGCACTGGGCGTGTATATCGGAGTATGCAGACCATTGCCTTCGAGAGGGCAGCTGTGGATTAAAGATACGCTGTATTATTACTGAGAGGGCCAATAATTAAAATAAACCAATCAGTCATAAGACTTGGTGATGTTCCCACAGTACTTGTTCAAGCATTAACGTAATAAAACATGGTCTAGCTCTGATATTAATGAGAATTCAGTGATTTTGCCCTCTATGTTATAAAACTGATTACCTTTTTACAAAGAAAACACAGTGGGCAAGAAAATACACTCATATCCAAGATGCAAAAAGCTGCTTTGGGGAGCATGCGCAGAATCCTTGCACGTGAGTCCCGGCGCTACATGGTCTACAATAATTCTACAATTGAAATTCACTCAACAGGCTCAGTTTCATAATGCGCTCCGTAGTTTGACATAAATACATAGTTGTCATCATTTACTTCAGTTATAATGGTTCAGACGCAAATGAGAAAGAGCATGCGAAAAACTGAAATGTTCTCAGAACTAATTTCTCTGAACGCAAATTGAAACACTATTTGTCTAGCTAGACAGATGTCCTGATTAAGAACTCTCAAATAGCGCTTCTACACTTATGCTTTATCTCATCAATTATAATTTATTTTTAACCGCGTTTTCTAAGACGAAATATTACGCAACCCGAAAACAGAACATTTTCGAACAACCAGTGTTCTGTTGACACAATCATCATTCAAAGCAGATGTAGATTCCCTTACCGGCAAGTTGTGGTGAAATGTTTCCAATTCGTACTTGTTCGTTTTCTCGTTTCGTTTAAACATTAAAGTGCACCTAACCCCAAAAATTTTTTTCGCTAAAACGAATCTAGACTTTATTTGAAGCATTTGGGCGAAGAAATTTTTGAATTTGGTTGAAT